ATTTATAATAGTTTATATAACTCGTGTATCTTTTTACTATTTTTTATATCAAAACTACTAAGTTTATTTTTAAAAATTAACAATTTAGTTATTATATTTAAATATTTCCATTATTTATGTTTTAGTATCACTAATGGATTTTATTTTTTTATTATGTGTAAATAATTTAAATATTATTTTTTGAAAAACATAATAAGATGATAAGTGGTGGGTACCCGTAGTGGGCACCCGCACCCGGTGGGGGTGGGGGTGGGTTTTGAAAAAGTCCACCCGATGCGGGTTGGAGGTGGGGGTGGGTGGAGAAAATATATGGTGGGTCGGGTGATGGATGTAGTCCTCCCCGACCCACACCCGACCCATTGTCATCCCTATTCCTGAGGAAATTGCAAGCTATCATAAGCTTCGGGAGACTTTTGAGGAAACTTTTGAAGATAGGGAAAGAAACTATCATCAAGAAGCACAAAATTTCCATCTGAGTACACCAAATTTTGCTAGACTTTGGGCATTTCAATTCTCGATCGGAAAACAACAATATATTCAAGATCTCCTGGATTGAATCATTAGTTTTTTTTTTTTTTTACTTCTGGGGAGTGGGTTCGAAGACAAGAGCAATTAAAAATGTTACGTGGCAGCCAATTAGCAAGGTAATTGGTCGAGAACTTGGAAACATGGGAAATTGAAAGAATTGCATGGTATTAGTTGGTATAGGAATCAAATTGTAAATTTTTTGAGTTCAGTGATCTAATTGCATATTTGTGTGTATTTCAGACGTGGAGCAAAAAGAGCTAATAACGCCTCCACTAAAGCTCAAACTCACAACCTTCCAAATGGGTCCAGTTCGGATACCATTAGACCACATAGTAGCATTCAAAAATGAATAAAAGTATAAATATGATATCTTAAAAAGTGAGGGAGTGTTGTAAAATAAACTTAACCTTATATTTTCATTATTTCAAACACACAATATTCAAGTAAAATCACACTACACCAAATATGAAACACTAGTAAATATATAGAGAGAGTGAGTGAGTGGGTTTATTATTTAATTCCTGGTTCTGCAATTCTTTCGGATCTCCCCATCGGAGCCGGTGAGAGGGCTGATGTTTCCCATCTTAACCATGGAGGTCACAAAATCAGCGAAGAAGCGATTGGAATCGTTGGTGTAGGTCTGAACAAGGGCCTTGGAAGTGTTCTGAGCAGCGTCGCTTGAGAAGAGGATTTGGTCGGATTGAAGGAGGCCTCTTCCGATGAGCAAGTTTTTGAAGTAGTGATTGTCGAACAAATCCGTGGAGTTTCTGTCGAGAGGGGCGGTGTTGTTGCCGTCGCCATTGGAGGGGCAGGTGGTTTGGAGCTCGGGAATCAAGGAGGCGTCCAAGGTGGGGTCCGGCGACCCGGTTTGCTGGAAGTTGGATAGTCTGTTGCTGAACACTGCGCACTTCGCTAAGCCGATCGTATGGGCACCTGATCGGATCGGATCGGATCGGAGTTATATATATATGTGATCGGAGTTGATGATAGAGATTGAGAGAGAAATGAGAATATAATGTTTACCCGATAAGGCTACCATGTCGGTGAGGTTTAGGCCGACGGCGACGAATTTGGCGATGATTTGGTCGAGCGAATCGAAGGGTCCGGGAAGTACAGAAGCATCAGCTGCTGTGAAATTGGCTAAAAATCCGTCCCTTCTTCCTAGCAACACTCTCCATGTTGGCCCTCCGCTCTGCAAAATAGCTGTTAGCTGATTGGGCTAAAGTTTGACTAATTAATTGTATTAGTTGATTGTAGAAAAACATTTGATAAATTAACTGTTAGTGATAGTTGATTACATGCAAAATGATTTTCTGATAAAGTTAATCAAAAAAATTATTTTGAACAACTTTTTGAATTTCAGTATATTGGAGCAATAAGTTGTTGCAAAAAAGTTAATTAATCAAACATTCATATTGATTTGATTGTTTAACAGTTAATAATGGTCAAATAAGCCAAAATTGACTGATAGGCTAACTATTTTACCAGCAACCATAATGTATTTAGTTATAAATAAAGCATGCATGCATTATTATATTGATGTGAATAGGGTAGGGAATGAAGTGAAGTTACTAAGAGAACAGAATCTCTGGCGGCAATGGCCAATATGTCGGCGCAGGATACAACTCCACTGCATGCACTCTCCACTGCGCTCTTTATGGAGTCTATCACTTCAAATCCTCTTGCAGAGTTCAAATTTGGCACTGCAAATTTCTCGCTTGTTGTACTGTTTCCGTCCAAAAGCACCGATCCATCGCACCCCTACAGTATATTATACAACAAATTAAACGAACATTATATTATTTTTATACCAAAAAATATATATATCTAACTAATCCATCATCACAATAAAACAATAAAATTTATTTCAATTCCTTACATTAACAAAGCAGTCGTGAAAATGAAGGCGAAGCAAGGAGGCTGCCATTCTCATCTCATTCTTGATGGCATTCTGAACCTCTTTCCGGACAACTTTGAAGAGATTAGGACACGAATTCGCGTAAAAACCAGTAGTTAACTGACCACTTGCTACTGCAAAAAACATCACAACCGATACAACCCAACAACTATATGAACTACTAAAGCTGCATGATCTACTCCTCATGGTTAAATTACTACTTAGCAGTGATATGATATGATCAAAGCTAGCTTAATCCCAGAAACCCTAGCTAGTATATTTGATCTCTTAGTGATGAATGTGCTGTGGTGCATGCTAATTAAGCCACTAGAACCCCAATTTATAATCTCGTTAACAAGCTAAGCATATATAATATCCATTATTTAACATATATAAATTAAATAATCAATCTGTAAGGTTTTGTTAATTATTGTTTATTTTTTGAGGAGTGAGTTGAAGAAGTAGTGCAATAGTGATGTATGCATATATATATATGCATGCATGGCGGCTGAATTGAAACTTTTAGGGCAACTAAAAAAGATGATGAATAATAAAAATCTGCAGGCACTTAGCTTGCTGGGCTATTCTTCTCCGAAAGTGATAAAAATATAAGGTGGCTTCATAGTTAGTTGTCGTATTAGCCAAGTATTGATTTATTTAGGATGAGATATATATATATGTATAGTATGGTACGTTCATGAACCTGCAGTATAGTTGTACACATTATTCCACTTAGCTTGATGAGTTGCGTACGTGATTAAATTAGTTGATCCAACACTGTTAGTGCTTAACTACGATGATACCATTAGATTAGATTCAAAAAGTTCAATGTCAAGTAGTGCATCGATCTGCATCATATATCATTGAATTAAGACTCGTAAACTTTATTACAATTGATTTTTTGTGAGAACTAAAGCTTCATATAATCATGTGAGGCAGGAAATATAATAATTTTTTGATCGAGTTAACAAGCATAGTATTATATTTTCACTAATATTTTTAAAGATGTAATACTTATCAACTCATAAAAAAATTATTACATTTTCACTAAAAACTTTTACGAATTTGAAACTCATTTCATGTGGGACGGTCACACAAGTTTTGGTGATTTTATTACAAGTCCAATGCTTTCTTCATTCGCAAATTGATGTATAAATTTGTAGAATTTATGAAAATGGGAATTGCTACCTAATTTTGTCATGTTCTATTTTAGGAGAATAGAATTTGGAGCTGGTATTTCCTACTTAATTGGTTTCGTGACCTATAACCTGTTTGTTATTGTCAGTTTTCTTGATCATTCTCTCTTAATTTATCTTACTCTATCTTCTTTGTGACAATTAGTGTTTGAGACTCTGAGGTCCAACGCCACTCACTGGAAGTATAGTTTCTAATGAAATTGGTGATTTCAGTACAGTACTTAATAAAGCATGAATAATTTCAACGGTGACTAATTCTAACCCTTATGGCATGTTCGGTTCATGAAAATGTCTTCCTTGAATTTGAGAAAAACTAGATTTTTCTTTGGTTCATGGAAAACATTTTCCTCAAAAATGAGAAAAACATTTTCCATGGTCCCCATGGAAAACAAGTAAGACAATTATGCCCTCACCAACTTTTCTTAATTATCATTATTATTATTGTTGTTATTATTATTATGTAGGGAATAATTGTCTTTATACTCTTTATTCTTTACAATTTCAAACTCAACCAAACAACAGAATCAATATTCTCAGTAATTTATTTTTCACCAATCAAACAATGTAATTAATCTTCTCGATAATTTTTTTTGCATGAAATTTCAGTTCCATTTCCCTTCAAATATTTTCCGCAAACCAAACCGGCCTTATTCTTAGGTTGCAAAATCACTGGCGTGCGTATTGCGATGTAGAAATCATAGCTAAATAATCTGAAAATTGTTGAATTATGAGATTCATTACATATATATATATATATATATATATATATATATATATCAATACAAATTTCACTTGATACTTTGAAAGTACCATCCATAACTATATCATAATTATTTTCTTGACAAAGAGAATATACAATATATCAAAATCAGTTAATAATTACAGTACTAAAATTTACCATGTCAAGAGGTCAGCAAATCAGATGGCTCACATGCTGGCACAAGCAACTGGTTCCTAGTCTGTTCTTGGGTCGTGGGAGTCTACTCCACCACTGTGTGTTTCACACTTATTTATTCCTTAATGCATTCGGCCTGATTTTGCTTCAAACACGTTAATAATTACAGTACTAAAATTTAAATACTGTAAATAATAACTTAATACAACTTGAGACTATATACATATATAATTTAAGTGCATATATATGGTGTGAGTTTGGTCAGTGGACCTAATTCCTTGCCCCTCAAAACAAAATGTTTTTTTTAAGCCACATCCTTTTACAACTTCATCTTAACAAATTAAAGGCATATCCTGCAGAATAAAATTCACTTTTAGTGGCCGGGGAGAGCAGGATAAACAAGCACATGGATCATAGTTGAGTCTGATTATGCTCTTACTCAGCATTTACCACAAACCAATCAAGTGGTGCCTTCTGCAGTTAGTTGAAAAAGAAGTACACAAACTGATGGGCTAGCCACCTAGCCTGCAGTGTATCTATTGGGCATGTTTAATAAACAGAAGTTGAAGACAAGGCAATATCCTCTGGTTCACTAATGATTTAAGGCTATGTTCACAACACTAACACAAGATCAAGAAATGTATACAATTGTAATGTTACTAACCATTGATTATCTCAAGCTTTTTCATTTTTGGGGTGCCCGAGGAAAACCTGCAGCCACTACCCGAAGATGTGCACTGGGTGAACCCTGCCTTGTGAGTTGTGACCCTAGCCGGCAAAGGATTACAAAGACGTAAACCAGTCTAGGTTACCCATAGCTGACCGGCTCATACCAAGAAGGCTGGGATTCAAGCTCGTGACCTTGTGGTTACAAGTTTGTATCCTTAGCCAACTTGGCAGGGGTTACCCCCTCTCAAGCTTGTTCTTGAATTTATGATTGACGGTGTATGCTGCCTCTCTTTGTAGTTTGTACCAGTGGCTGCTTCACATATCCTGGCATTTGGCAGCCCCAATATCAAATAACACAGGGCCTCCATTAGCGATAACTCAGTACAATAGAATTCTGAGGATCACAAGCAAGTCACTTCAGGTATCCTTAACGTGAACTGTAATCTTTGAAAATTGAACAAGTATAAGGATCGGGGTACAAGATATAAAGCAAATAAATCTACTTCAAGTTCCATACTTCCTTCTCTTCTGATGCCTGCCAACAGAGAAAGAGCCAACACTATACTTTGAATTAGCAAGCTCAGATGGAATGGCAGCCCCAGAAGATTTTAGGATTTCAACCAACTCCGGGAACAGTTTCTTATTTTCCTCGTTTATGAATACAATTGATGTACCTTCCTCTCCCATTCTAGATGCTCTTCCAATCTGATGGACATATTCTTTAATGGAATTTGGCATGTCAAACACTATTACTTGTTTTACACTCAAGAGATCAACTCCTCGACCCAACACTCCAGTGGCAACGATCACAGGCACATCTCCAACCAAAAATGACCTTAGAATTTCTCTCCTGTCCTTCATGGATTTCTCACCATGAATTGAAACAGCTTTCAGTCCAGTACTAATTGTTATTGCCCCAGAAAGGAGATCTGCCCCAAGTCTAGAACCCACAAATACTATAACTGGTGGCTTATAGTGCTGCTTGCTTGTCAAAATATCAAAAAGTTTTTGCTTCTTTTGTTTGGACTCCACCCAGATAGCAAGCTGCTTCACAGCTCCATTAGGCTTGTTCAGCTGCCCAACCGATATAACAGTTAAATGTTTTGCCATTGAGCTAGCCATTTTCTCCACCTCTCTTGAAATCGTAGCAGAATACATCAATATCTGAGGTTGAGAAAGTGCCCTAAAAATCTGCATTACTTGCTCATGGAAGCCCCTTTGCAGCATACAATCTACTTCATCAATAACAAACATTGAAACACTATCTAATTCAATCTCACGTTTCGTCAGAAGATCAATAAGCCTTCCAGGAGTACCAACAATCAATGAAACCCCATGTTCAACACGATAAAGTTGTCGGGCCATTGCATCACCACCCACAACCAATGCAGTTTTGAAAGGCATACCTTTCCCTAGCACCTTAGCCTGTTCCTCTATCTGTATGCAGAGCTCCCTAGTGGGTGCAAGAATCATTGCTAATGGTTTCTGCTTCCTCTCAGAACAAGCTAGATTCAATTTCACAGTATTCGCAACAATAGGAATTAAAAATGACCCTGTTTTCCCAGAACCAGTCTCTGCTGAAACAAGCAAGCTCCGGCCCATTAAAGCAGCCGGGATGGCTTGCATTTGCACAGGAGTTGGCATTTCATATCCAGCAGCTTCCAAGTTATCAAGAAGCTTTCGAGGAACATCACACGAACCAAACGACATAATGGGAGGTGAAACAAGGTCACCCTTCACTACAATATTGAGTTTTCTCCGCAACAACTCAGCTTGATCACTAGCCAGACATTTAGATTCAGATTTTTTATCATCATCCCGAACATAATAACAATCATCAGTAGCTGGAAATCTTACTGGAGGCGGGCAGGGTGTTGGCTTTCGAGATTTTTCAATCCGGGATAAAAGAATCGTTTTACATTCAAGACTACAGATATCATCATCGGTTTCATCACATATATATTCACCATAACGACCACATATAACACATTTAGGTTCATCAGGTAGAGCTTCCCTCTGCTCCCAACTCCTCTTTTTCACTTCACTATCCGAATCCGAACCTAAAAAATGTAAATATTTTACAGGCAATTAATCATTTCATTTATTTCCAAAATTATACATGAGAAAATTAAATTAAAATGGTAAAAAATTACTGGAGTAAATTGCAAAGGAGAGAGTACCTGAGGGTTGATTGCTTTCGGTTGCTGCAACTATTGAGGTTTCCATAGCTTTGAAACTTCCAGATGAATGATTGAACACTTTTACTCACCTCAATGAAAACAAGTAATTATCATACAGAAAATTCAATGATTAATTGCATGGAAAATTCACATAAATAAATTAGATGGCAAAGGATCGGAAGAATTTAGAAGACTGCTGGGGAACCACTGCTCCTGGAGTTCTCTCTTTGCCATCGTTTTTCAACCAATTTTACCCCGGTTTGGCTACTTGGGTCCAGGGACGGAGCCAGAATTTCCTTTGAGTGGGGTGAAGAAGCTGTGAAAAGGTAAAAATGAATTAAAAAATGTTCAAATACAAGGTTCAAATACAAAAGTTGATTTTCTTTTAAAGAATTTTTCCATAATTGAACCAAAAAAAATATAATCTAAACAAGTAAATATAGAATTTTCCAGCAAACAAATAAACTGATAAACATAAGCAAAGCATAATTTCTGGAAATAAAACACTAGACAATCTCTAATATTTAACACTAGTTGACAAAATGATGTATTCTTAATTCAATGAGACTTAGCTATTCTGCTATTCTTCTAATTCCTTTTGTTATGAATAATTGGTTATAATACATACGGATATCAAACAGTTACAGAATACACTAATACAGACAATATACATACAAATACAATACGAAAATACATTTAAAAAAAAAAAAAAAAGGTTAGGGCAAACTAATTGAAATTTATCAATCATCATTTTTATGGAATTAGCCATTAGGGAAAAGTAATTAAGAGAATAAAGTTAAGAATAATGAATATTGGTTCCATTACCTGAGGCTATAAATATATAACGGTGAACGGACGGAGCCACGGAGGAGAATAGCCGGACGACAGTGGTCGGTGGAGGCGTGGAGTAATGGGCCGCGGATCTGCAAATCTTCGATGAAGATTTCTGATGGACTGATGGAGCTGCTGGCTGGGGCGTGGAGGCAGGAGCTGAGGAAGCAATGCAAAAGAAGACAGAGGAAAGAGGAGCAGAGCGTCGACGACTGGTTAGGAAGAAACAAGAAAGGAATTAAAAAAAAAAAATTATATATATATACTATTTTTTTTTTATGGGCAAAAAATATTTGTCCAATGTTAATATTTTATATTAAAATTTTAAATTTATTTAGATTTTAGGAATTTAAATTATTGTAAATAATAATAATAACAATGTAAAATATTTTTATAAATTTGATATATATATTTTTAAAAATAATTAACATATAACTCCAATATATAATGTGTATATATTATTATTATTGAAAAAAATAAGAAAATATATGATAGTTACATATGCATGATAACAATAGTGAAAACACAGACATAATGTACAATTTTCTCGCCAAATACACCAAGATAACGCTATGCATCTCAACTTTGTCATCACAATGGTGCCCGTCAATCTCCCTACAAACAGTGAGATCATTCCACAGTGCGACGACTATGAGGATAATATCTCGCCTTATATAATTGAGTCATCAACGAATTGAAAAAGGTTGAGTCAGTAATCTCCAACTTTGCTTTGCTAATAACGCCACGTTAAACTTGCTTAGATTCTTAAAACCTACATATTTAACCCAAGGAAAATGTTTTATTCCTCTCCTTTATTTTACTTCCTGATGTGGCTTCTATTCCTAGGGTACCCATAAATTAGTAACTCACCACTAATCAAAAATATCATTTAGTTACCAATTAGATGTTGTCATGTCATGAGAGATGGTTTGAGGGGGAGAAATATGAGGGTACCTAACATTACTCTAGCAAATTATTATGTGGATCCGGGCCTACCTTGCAAGGTAGACCCCAGTCTAAAGATACACAATTTACATACAAATTTTCACAATTTACCTTTTTAAAATTTACAATCTGTGATGACCATGTATTATATTCACAAATTCTCAAAACTTATAAACACAATTTATATTCTAGATGTTCACAATGCTAATACTAAAAATACACCATTTATGACAAGGATCCACATTGCAAGGTGGACCATGGTCCATGCACATACCAAAACAACATTAATGGTTTGATAGTTAAGCAATGTCGTGATATTACTATTGATATCGGAGACGTGTCTGTCCATCATGTCAAGATGTCAACAAATCAAGCAGCTCACGTGCTAGCACGAGCAACTGATTTTATGTCTGTTCGGATCGTGGGAGTCTGTACTTTCGACCAGTATTTCGCATTTGATTGATTATTAATATGATTCCGTTATTACCTTTCAAAAAGAAACTCAAAAATTCTTGGCATTAAGACTTTAAAATTTTTTCTTTTTTACCCAATTATAATGCTGATCGAAATTCTTTTTCGTTTTCTTTTAAGAAACATCTTTTTGAGTGGAGTTTGAAGTCATAACTCCTAAGCATTTTGAAAATCCTTCAACTGACTAGGGAATTGAATCACGGGAGCTTTTTTTTTTTTTTTTTAATAAATATTTTTAATCACAATTACTTGATGACCAATTGTTCAATACAAAATGGATCGAATCATATAACAGTAGAAAGTGAGTTTATTATTTTTTCTTAAATCGTTTTTCCTTTCTCCAATAAATATAACCACATGACAAGATTATATACGTACAATTAGGATTTTTCCATCAAGAAAATCCCCATCTTCCATCACCACACTAACATATGAAATTTTGATTGAAATGGGTAGAAATAAAATGAACTAGACAAAAATAAATAACTTTTAAAACATAAACAAAAATAAACAAAATGTGTTTGGACTTAAATACTTAATTTTCTCCAATACTAAAAATAAACTTCTGAAGTAAGAACGCATTCACGTAATGTGTTTGCTTCATAATTTTGGCCCAACACCATTGACGAATAGCAAAATTAATTTTAAAATTTGTACGTGGTCCACGGTAAAAGTACGTATAAGTGGAGTAAACCTCCTCCATTAGTGAAGATTGCTCAGTTTTTAGGAAAATCTAAATTTATGTGGAAGAGAGAGTGTGAAGAGAGAGAAGAAAATGAATTTTGCAAAAGGTGTAATTTTTAAACTGAACATGTGAGATTCGCATGGAGAAAATGACTGCACCTTATTCATGCGTTTAGCCAGAGGGCGCTTGTACCTTGGACATGTAAAAGCTTATGTTTTTTTTTCCCTATGACAGTTGGTCTCTTTAAAAAAAAAAAAAACAAAAAAAAAAATTTGCTTTTGTTCTCTCTCTTCTCTTCCCTTCAACTACAACTATTTGAGATGTTCTAAGAGAGCCCCACCGGATTTGCGTGGAGAAAAAGTTACGCAATAAACGCACATTCAGCGCAACTTATGCACCCAGCGAGACAGCACGCAACCCTGGGCATGTAAGATTTTTTTTCTCTCTCCCCACCAATTCGCTCACTCATCATCATTATGCAGTAGTCACCATATTCTGATCCTTCATCCTTATATGCAATAATACCAATACCGGGGTACGGTTATGAATAATTAATGTCTGTCAGAGATAGAATCTGGAATCAACAGATAAAGTGTTCTCAGGGAAATGAACAGCAATGAAATTCCTCCAGCAAACCTTACATTCCAGAATGATGAAGCAAACTGGAGATTGGAGAGCAGAAAACAGCTGCCTGCCTGCCACCAAATACACTCATTGGGAGTTGGCATGGCAGTGTGATTAAATACACACCTTTAAGGATCAAGAAATAAGAAAATTAGCACCTGCATCAAGTAAATACAAACCACTGGGCAGCAAGATGGATGCATTATCAACTTGGGCTGCCCAACAATGAACTCACAGTCACTGAATCTTACAAATAGGGCATTCAGCATAATAAGAGACCATCAAGGAGATAATCAACAAATAGAAGACTATTGAAGGTGAAAAAAATCACAATATATCATAAGGAATATGGATAGTTGTAGGACAATAAACATGAGAAATGCTACAAAGGTCCAATAGAACAAAGGTTGATTTAGTTTGTAGGCTTCATACAACAAATTAAAGCAGTACAATGTTCTCTATTTCCAGTTTATTACATATCAATGTTTCTGCCAGGATACAGGTTGCATAAACCACCTACAAATCTAGCTAAAATATCCCTTCTACATAACACCAAAATAAAGTTGATAAATAACAAAACAGGACAGAAAAGACAAGATCTATGCACTTGAGATTATCTGATGTCACAAGATGAACAAAGCCATTTTTGTATTTGACTTTCCTGGTCAGAAGATGGATATGCACAATCAATGAAGAGGCTCCCATTAACACTGGACAGTTAGACAATGCACCCAGTAGAGAAGGCGGTTCTCTAATCATTCATCTCCAAATACATTATCAAGAATTTGTGGGTATCATCAACTAAAATGGAGAGGAATTTTCGGGGAAGAGACTTACATTAACATGGGACGTGCCCACTGCCAATGCTCTTCGCTGATCATTCATTTCCCTCGGCCTCATTCTTGGGTTGCATCTGTGCATTAATGTCATCCTCTAGCATATTAACATCTTCAGCAGCTACACTATATGATGCTTCAATTTTGGGTTTACTACCATCTTCCTTCACTTCAACATCATGCTGCTTGTGACATTCTTTTCCTTCCAAATCTCTATCTTCCTTTACTTCAATACCCTGCTGCTTGTTGACATCTTTCCCTTCTAAATCCACATCTTCCTTCACTTCAATATTCTGCTGTTCGTTGACTTCTTTCCCTTCCAAATCCTCATCAATCTTCTCACTTTCACATTCTGCAACAATTTCTTTTGTCTTAGCATCTTCAACAATCTCATGATTCCAATGTTCAGTTTCCATCATATCATTTTTCATTCTCCTAGATGATTTAATATCTTCATCAGTAGTGTCTAATTTCCCTTTCACATCAACTCCTATGTTCTCTGCGACCAATTCCAGGTTGTTATCCTCCATTGAATGAGCATCTCCATGACTTCCACTGTCATTTTCAGAATCATTCTCCACTACCTCCTCATTATCCTCTCCGCTGTGATTATGCCTCTCAAGACTTTGCAATCTCCTTCTCAGATCACCCAACTCCCTTTCCATCAAGAACAGCCTCTCCTTCAGAATTAGGTTCTCTTCCTCTAGTTGAGCAATATGAGTATCCTGATCATCAACCCGATTTTCTAAAACATTATTGTATTCCCCACAGTTCGGATAAATCATCTCAAACCGGCTCAAGTCATGGTCCAACCTTCTTTCCACCTCCACGTGTTCCTCAACATCACTCTCACTTGACCCTCCCTGATCTTCCTCATCATCTTCATGATGTTCCAACTCCTGACCGGGGGACCTCAGTCTAATCAAACCCTTCATTGATCCATACCCATCCACTCCCCACTCCTCTTTTGCCATATCCACCAAGACCTCTCTTGATGGAGAGAGGATGGGTGTTGGCAACACAGCTGGAGTCACAGGATAGGGTGAGACCAATGAAGCAATACCACCACTCTTCTTTGCCCTGATGAGAAAAGATGTTGTATTCCTTGGAGCAAAGGGCGCAGTCCTATTGTTACTATTATTATTACCATTATTATTGTAGTTATTGTAATTATGCATCTTCTTTTTGGGGAAAAAGTTCCTAGCTTTTAACCGGTTCTGCCATTGTAGTTCATTTAGAGTTGGAGGTTGATAACTGCCTGAAGCAGATGCACCAACCGGACCTCCATTCACACTGCCATTTCCAATTCCAACAGTACTACCAGCCATAAGAGACTTCTCTTTCCTTCTCCCTCCATCCATTCGGTTGTCCTTCTTACCCACTTTTTTTCCCTTCCAATTTTTCCGAGGTCCTAATGGCTTTGATTGATTCCCCGTCATAAACCCCTGATGCTTCATAGCATTGGGGTTGAACTGCAACTGCGACTGATCCACAATAGGCTGATGAGGCGGCTGCGGCCACATCCCATATTTCCGGTTCATCATGGGAGGCTGTTGTATCTGTGAATTACAAAACCTTAGCTTTTGATAGTGACTACTATAAGCACAACTGACATCCATCATCATCATCTTAGGCTCAAAAGTATTACGCATTGGAA